TGAATGCTACGTATTGGATCAGGGGTGTTATAACCCACATTTTGCAAACTAATACGATAGCAATACTACAGAACAGACAGGGAGACTGGGTTTAAATTCTCTTTTGTGGGCACCTAAATTTGTCTTGCTTGACAAGTCATTTTCCTGTCCTCCAACAGCCCCTCTTCCTGGTCTTATTTTTCTCACTTATAAAATGAAGAGGAGGGTTATTGTACTCCCAAAGAGTTGACGTCCCTATTTTTATATTTTTCCATCATCACTATCATCATTTGTTTTCCAAATTTTTATTCATTCAACAAAATGTTTTGAGCTCATGCACCCGGAGTTAGGCACTGGGAATATGGCCATGAGGAAGCCATCCGTACCCTGATGAAGTTTATGATCTTTCTTTCCCCCTTAGCAATATTCCCCTTTTTAAACTGCAGTGAGTTGAATATCTATATTACTTATTTCAAAAGACGTAATAAAACTAAAGATAATGCAGCTTAAAATATATTTAAATCCAGAGCTTTCAAAAAACCCCCACTCCTGCCAGAACGCACAGCCAAGGTGAAGACTGCAGTGGCAGTTTCTAAGAAGCCCACTAGAGGGCGCGCACATTTTTTTATTCCCCAAGAAAGAGTTTACGTGGGTCCTGCCCCTGAAGTTTGGCGATGGTGTTTCTTTCCCCCACCTTCTATGCAACGTGGGGCAAGTGTGGCGACCCTTCAAGTTCTCTCACTCCACCAACCCATCCTTACCCCATGCCGTGACTTCTCCTCTGCCAAAAGGAAGAATTATATTGCTCACACAACCACAACAGTTTCGTTTCTGTTTCCAGCATTTGTCCTTCTGACATTTTAGAAGAAATAAGATCCAAGTTTGATGTTGAAAGCACTGATTTCTTTAGTAAGAGGATTTCTCCTCCCTATGTCTGCTTTCCTTGGTTGTGGGGGAAACACTTCTTTAAGAAGTTAGAGCAGCTCCTTTGAGCAAATCTTCCTGGGGAATCACAGGAATCTTTCTGAGCAGATGTTTTGGAGCTGACATTAGTCCCCTTGCTCAGCAACATGTTGAGTTTTTGAGGTCCTGTCTTTTCATCTGAGTTTTATATTCTGAAGTGACAAGTTCTTGACCCCAAACATTAGTTTCAGCAACCCATGACTAACCCTCCTCACAAACCATGATCCAAGAGAAACATCCAACACTTTCCCCAAAGTTCTTTGCCTGGTGGTTGCCCTAGCACCTTAAACCTCACCCTTTATTTGATTCCAAAATTCCCTTACCTCCAAATGTCCATTCTGAGCTTTCTTTGAGATCAAGCAAAGACATTAATGAAATAGATTGTAAATATGCCCTATTGTACATGAACACGAAATTATTTTTGAATAAGCACCTCTCTAGTTAACATAGGAAAGACTGGGAACATGGCTTGAGAAGAAAAAAGAAAGCCAAGGAGAAGGCAGGGCCTCCTTGCCCACCCCACCCATGCTTTCTGTGAACATTAGCCAGCTTGCCCTTTAAGGAAATGAATTTTTTTCTGTGTGTGTGTGTGTGTGAGAAAGGTGTCAGAAGGCTTCTGAGGCTGTAGCTTTATGCAAATATGCTACTCAAGAAGAAGGCTTTAGGGGGGAGTTATTTATATCCCACAGGCATTACACATGCAAAAGGTGAAACTGAATCTCTGAATTTCCAGGAGTGGATGTTCTTATGATGAGCACATCCTTGTAGTTAGCTATTTTGGTGGCCTTATCTCACTGTCAGATTTTGCAGGCAGGAGACTACATAATCATTCCATAATTTTAGAATGACCCTAGATGTTTCTCTTCAGTGGGACTTCATGACCTGAACTCTCTTGGGCTTTAGATTTACTACTACCTTGGATTTGTAGTAAGAGGGGCATTCATTTCTTTTACTTCTAAACAGGTACAGCACTCAGCCATTAAAAAGAATCGGGTGGCACATTTATTGCTCTTTCATTTTCATATTGACTCCTGGAATTAGCAAAGAAAATGACCTTTTCTCTAGGAATTATTGCCCTGCTCCATTGCTAGCTCACCATCTCCAAAAATATCGACCATTCTCCAAATTGAAATATACATTAATCACTTCAGGAAATTGCTTCCTCCATTGGAAACTGATAGCTCTCATCGAAATGTTTCCAAAGCACAGCTGATGACAATTACGACTCACTGAAATTTCAGTTTTCTTTGATTGTGACATAAAAACTGAGACATAAATTAAAACCTAATTATCCCTTAAGGGTAATTGGGGTTATAAAACCAAGAGACTGTGAGTCAGTGTGTCAATATCACTGGAGTACAGATTCTGTCCCTGAAACAGCCTTTCATATGAAATGGTTGTGGATGAGGTTATTTGTACACCGAGCATGCCAAGAAAGCACATCAGAGTGGGCGACAGACTTGGAGAAATATAGTTAGTTCCTAGGACATCTTGGAACAGTTAAAGTGTGCTAAAACTGCAGTGCAAAAGGGTTAAATAAAGTCCTGGACTTCACCTGTAATGGTGCCCACTGGTGGAACAAGGAACTTAGCACCATGACTCCAGCCAGTATCTGACTCTCCAAACTCGGTGAAAGAGATTCTCATCTGGAAGACAGGTGAGATCAGCTCTTTTGTTTCATGCAATCTACATCATCAAAGTCCATAAGGTTTTCAGACAGGGTGTGATCCACAAAAGCGGCATAAAAGAAAAAGATTTGTCATAAATCAAGTGCACAAGGAGAGCTTATTAATAAGGAACCCATGGATTATTCTTAAATGTAGGGATTACCCACACATCTGCACATGTGGGTAATCCTTAACTAAAGGAACCCATGAATTATTCTTAAATGCAGGGATTATCCACACATCTGCACATGTGGGTAATCCCTGCATTTCAGAATAATCTACAGGCCAGGTGCAGTGGCTTATGCCTGTAATCCCAGCACTTTGGGAGGTCAAGGCGGGCAGACCACCTAAGATCGGGAGTTTGAGACCAGCCTGACCAACATGGAGAAACCCCATCTCTTCTAAAAATACAAAATTAGTCAGGTGTGGCAGTGCATGCCTGTAATTCCAGCTACTTGGGAGGCTCAGACAGGAGAATCACTTGAACCTGGAAGGTGGAGGTTGCAGTGAACCAAGATTGCACCATTGCCCTCCAGCCTGGGCAACAAGAGTGAAACTCCATCTCAAAAATAATAATAATAATAATCCAGGGCCACCTACAGAGCCACCTCTTGATGGTATACTCTTTAGGTCATACTCTTGGTATACTTGGTATACTCTTTAGGTCAAATCCCATCCACTGAAACTTCCCAACATGGTACCCCAAAGCCTCTCATGATACAATCTGACTCCCCCATTTTGGACTTTTTTAAAGATTTTACTTCCCTGTCTTCCCAGAGAATGTGTCACTCCCTCTCATTGTGCACTGTTCATGTTTTTAAAAGCACACATGCCCATCACATGACTGTGAAGTTTTCCACTTTGTCTCTGACATTCAGCTGAAAGCTCCCGAAGGGACTTGACCATATCTTATTCCTCTTTGTTTTCCTAGTTGGGCACATAGTAGAGCTTACAAAATGTTGCTGAACATAGTGCACCATTGACACAACATAATTCCAGATTTCTAACTTTGATTTCTGAAAGGTAAACATTGCTACAAGGTATTACCCACACATAAGACTCAAACAAACCCAACCATCTTCCAAACAAAACAGGTTGGTTTGTTTTTTCTTAGGGCACCCACTTCAACAAACAAATTTCTGGCCCCAGGACAACATAAAGATCCACAGCAGGATTTCAAGCACACCTCTCTTTTCAGGGGCTGCATCAGTCCCCTGAGAGTCATGTGGGGAAAAAAAAATCCAAGGTCCAGGTAATTTCCACCACTCCTGGGAAACCAAGCCTGGAGAGCTCTCAAGGGAAAAAGATATGTCCACTGTGGGCTTCTGCAGCTTTATTTTACAATCCCCTTTCTTATCTACTGCTTCACAAAACCAGAGAGAAATAGGTACAAACTGTATCAACAAAAGATCAGAACTGAATTCTCAATGGCAAAGGCAAGTGTACATTATAAATAGCAAAACAGCTGGCTTGGACCATGCTGCCGGCCAGTCACACAGTTGAGGGATTTGAATGACATCATAACCCTTGAAAGGATATTGCTAGCCAGCTGGTGTTATTTAGAATATACAAAAATCAGAGAAAGAAAACACACTCTGGCACACAGACTCTCTCTCTCTCTCTCTCTCTCTCTCTCTCTCTCTCTCTCTCTCTCTCACACACACACACACACACACACACACACACACAGGTTTGAATTATGCAGAAAATTCAAACTATAGGAAAATTGTTTTCCCCCCCAGGTACCCTTCTCTCAGAGCGGTGGAGTGGGGAGGGGACAGTGACCAGCAGCCTAGTAGAAGAATAAAGAAAAATATTCTATTTCATTTGGTTTTACAGTTCGGCATAGTCTTTGCCTCATCGCAGGAGAAAAAGCATGAGATAGTGTCCTAAAGGGACCAATTTCTTGCTGCCTGCCCCTGCATAGTTTCTAGGAAATGAGATCACTCCCCTCACTTGGCAACTAGGACAAGGGGTCACCTGAGTGCTGTCTTCCAATCTACTTCACCCGTCACTTCAAGGTTAAAATCGTAGAGTTTGCTGGACAGGGTCTTTTCATCCTTTCTTTTTTTGTTTTAAATTTTGCATTTGCTCTAGAATGTAAAATTGCTCTCCCATCCCCCATGTATTTTCCTTTAATACTGGGAGGGTGTAGTAGCAGACATGTATGTGTCTTCATGCCCAGCAGAAAGTTAATCAGAAAACAGATCCTTATTTTCTATGGCAGCATAAGTATTTTAATGTCTGCTAACCCTGTCACTAACACACATTCTTTTAAGGGAAAAAAATGCTTCTGTGCTCTAGTTTTAAAATGCAAAGGTATGATGTTATTTGTCACCATGCCCAAAAAAGTCCTTACTCGATAACTTTGCCAGAAGAGGGAGAGAGAGAGAAGGCAAATGTTCCCCCAGCTGTTTCCTGTCTACAGTGTCTGTGTTTTGTAGATAAATGTGAGGATTTTCTCTAAATCCCTCTTCTGTTTGCTAAATCTCACTGTCACTGCTAAATTCAGAGCAGATAGAGCCTGCGCAATGGAATAAAGTCCTCAAAATTGAAATGTGACATTGCTCTCAACATCTCCCATCTCTCTGGATTTCTTTTTGCTTCATTATTCCTGTTAACCAATTCATTTTCAGACTTTGTACTTCAGAAGCAATGGGAAAAATCAGCAGTCTTCCAACCCAATTATTTAAGTGCTGCTTTTGTGATTTCTTGAAGGTAAATATTTCTTACTCTTTGAAGTCATTGGGGAATTTTATTTAAATTGTGTACTGTTTGCTTCTGCCTAGAACTGTTATTCACTTTAAAATTTTCATTGTTTTGGAACTGAGAGTTATTTATAAGTTGCTGAATATGCAATTATGTGGAATCTGAAAAATAGCTTGGGGAGATGGATGCATTTGCACAGATATCTGTATGAGTAGAAACTATTGCAAGGTACTTATGCTAAATCCTCCACTTCTGCAGGGCTTTTGTGGTGTCATTATAGAAGATTCCTTTAAATCCTGTCTACGGCTAAGGGCTATAGAGTGTGGATATTAACTTGGGGATTTTTTTTTTCTTTTGCAGGTGCAGATGTTTTATTTTTAAGACCATGCTTGTGTGCATGTGTGTGTGATGTGTCTGTCTGTGTGTGTGTGTGTGTGTGTGTGTAACTCATCAGGACTTTACAAGGCATGTCATATATGAAGGGTTATATTTTAGATGATATTAAGGCTTTTAAATATGATCTTTGGAGCTAAGGTCTCGGAACTCTGCACTTATGCCCAGAGAGTTAAAGTGTAATTTGTTCTTCCAGGAAAGAACTCCTTGACAAGTCTTGCTGACCCTGTATATTTGTATAATTTAAACAAATACATACTGTATATAGAAAGCAGAAACTTTCTAACAGCTGCTTGCCCAACCTTTCTGTTAAGAAGAGGACTTTCATGGGCAAAGTTTGGACTTGGGGTTTTGTGTTGTAAAACTCTGATTTTATATTCGGTGTCGTGAAGTCCCTTTAGGTAAATCTGGCTGCTGTTGTCAGTGCACCGACTTCTGGTTACCGATTGCTGGCCGTAGTTCTAGTTTCCATTCTCAGCAATATTATATCCCTCACGACTTGGGTATTTTCAATTTGCAAGGGCTTTTAAGCTGCTGTCACTGGCTCCACTGATGCAATTGCCTGAGGGCTCAATTCATAAGATCCCTCTGCCACTTAGTGCAGCACTCACCCACTGCTTTCCCCTCTGCCACTTAGTGCAGCACTCACCCCCTGCTTTCAAACACTTCCTCTCTAGGACTTTCCCTAGTCAAGTAAGTGGCTCCGGGAGTTAAAGGTACACCCTTGTCAGGCACCTGATTCTGCTGTTCCTGAGATGCCAACACAGGCAGGCCACCTTGCTCTCAAAGAAATGACGTCACCACTATGCATACATACTATGTGGTCTAGCACCTGGAGGTTTTGGCTCCCTACTTAGGGAATCATAAAAGAGGCCGCTGAACGTTATCTCTGCGTTAATTACAAGTTAAGAAAATTGTCTCCAAATGCATTTTTCATGCGCTGTGTGCTGAACGTTTCAGAAGTGGAGCTCTTAATAAGTTGCTACTTTTTTATGTACTTGAGGCAGAAAGTGGTTTGAGGGAGCTGCTTGGTCTTTCACAGGTAATTCAGTGAGTAAAGTTGTCCTGCCCAGAGGCAGAACTCACAAGCTCATTGTACTGAGTTTCAAGGTATTTCCAAGAGAATGAGTCGGGGGAAGGGAGTTAGGGAGTAGACTGGAGCTTGGGTCACTATCTGGGTGGCTACAAAAGGCATACAATGAAAATAGGTGACTAGACTGGGGGGAAAAGACTGACTTAAATCCCAGCTGTGCAATTTGTTCATTGTTTGAATGGACAAAAGGCAGTTTGCCCAGCCACATAGCATACCTGCCTGGGTGTCCAAATGTAATTAGATGCTTTCCCAAACCCCACCCACAAAGCAGCACATGGTTTTAAGACCTCAGTTTTCTATTCACATCGGTCTCATAATACCCACCCTGACCTGCTATAAAGACCTGGAACAAGGAAAAGTGATTACACCGACAGTGAGTATTTTCTCATGACTATTGCCCTCAAATGTTACGGGGCATTTTCATTGTAGTCTAGACATCTGGAATCAATTAATATTCCACGTATTTAAGATTAAAAAAGAGAAAGGGCTTTCAAAATTTGGGTTTGTGCATGATTTTTGAGAAAATGTTTTATGATTCTTTTTTCTTTTTTTTCTCGTCTTTCGGATTCTTCCCTTTTTTTCTATCATATCTTTCCTTTCTCTCCTGTATTTCCTTTGTGCTTGGCAAAATAAAAGGCCAAGGAAATAATGAACATATGGGGTCACTTGTTTCACACTTTTAACTCCAAAGCAAGTTGGGTTTTGTTTTCCTTTGTGGGAATATAATGTGATAAAATCTCTGGTTCTCTGTGGGTATACTGGACTATTCCCTAAACTCAAGGAAAATGCAACAGAGGTTCTGTCTTCAACTGGAACTGTAAGTACTGAGATTTATCTGACAATATAGCTCAGCAAAAAAAAAGAAAAAAGAAAGAAGAAGGAAAATATTTTAAAACTCTTAAATTCTTAAGTTCTGGAGATTTATATGTATTGCTGCACTTAAATGTGTTATATTAGAACTATTAAAAACAGTTTTGACATCTAATGAGTTTGAAATTCACTGAGGCTATAACTTGAGTAATTTTTTTCTCTGGATTTCACAAAAACTGAAGAATCTGAAGGCATCTACAGTTGCAGGTGCTTAGCCTTCAGCATTGCTATAAACTCAACAAAGAAGGGTGGGGTGGAGAAATAGAATTTGGTAGAATAACACACTTTCTAGAACCAGCGCATTCCCACAGTGTGGGGATGTGCTCTGCAAGATCAATCACAGGTTTGTTCTTTTGAAAAAGGCCATGAGGTCCAGTCGGGTTGGATTTGTTGAAGTTTCTGCTGGAAATATTGAACAGGAAAACCCCATTACTTATTTTATAACTAAAAAAAATAAATAAATAAGAACTGGATGATAACTTGCTTCTATCAGTCCCGGTATTTGAGACTATGTAGAGGGTAGAAGATTTCCATGCAGAGATCCTGTTGAGAAAAATGCAATAAATGTTCTGTTGAGCTTTTCCCTCCTCTTCTATTTTATGTCCATTATTTATGATGATTTGCAAATAGAGGGCGCTTTTCATCTTCTACTGTTTTATAAGAATTAACTAAATATTTGTGTTGTGTTAATGAGAGACAGGAGTTTGGGTTCTTTGTTTTTTTGTTTTTTGTTTTTTTTTTTCAGTTGCTGAGCTGAAGGTCTGACTACAAAAATGGAAATCTTCATTAGAATGATGGGGGAAATTTTGCCACTGATATAGAGCCATTTAATTAAGAGTCCATGGAGGGCAAGGAGGGCGATTAGAAAATAAATGACTGAGTCTGTTTCTCAAAAAATGATGGATTTGAATGGACCTACCGCTACTATGAGGTTCATAAAAGCCTCCTTTTATAATGATAATTATAACACAACCCTTTTAATAGGGCCCCTCACCTAACACCCCATCAGTGACTCTTCCCATGATGTGAAAGCAGATGCATCTGAGAGAAGTGAGGCCACTCACATTGGGAGGTTTCTTGGAAGAAGCCATCACATCTTTGTGCCATAAGTAACAATATGGGAAAACTTAATGATCACCTTAGCATAGTTTCTACGACTTAGAGTGAGGATAGAGACTTGAGCCACAGGACTGCTGCTTTTGGCAAGGCTGCCACTTGGCTGGCTGTCATTGACTAAGTCATGCCAACCAGGGGTTCCTTGGCATATTTTTCTATAAAATAGATACAGTGACACATAAGTCCCTCCAAGAGATTAAGCCAGAATTCCTGTGACTGAAAATAAAAGACTTTTGCAGGTTTGAACCCAGTGCCGTATACACAGAAGGATTCTCAACACGTGTTGATTTGATATTGGACTTGAGGCAAGGGGCTTTAGAATGCAGAAGAAGTAGCTTCTGCTTGAGCCAATTTCATTCTTCTGTTCTCATATTTTTTTTCTGTTTCTGTTATTTTTCTTCTATTTGTGGTTATGTCAACAGCTGAAACTCCCCAAGTTAGGAATCAGTCTCTCTCTCTCTCTCTCTGACTCTCTCTCTCTCTCTCTCTCTCTCTCTCTCTCTCTCTCTCTCTCTCTCTCTCTCTCTCTCTCTCTCTCTCTCTCTCTCTCTCTCTCTCTCTCTGACTCTATCTCTGTCTCTTTCTCATGTTAAGAGAAAAAAAACCTTTGATGATATATAGTATTGTCAAAAGCCTTTTTTTGGCCATAGTAAATTATTTTTAGTCAAAAATAGGGAATGATGTTTGGTTAAAAATATTCTGGTCAATAATGAATGCATATGCCATCTGTGGAGGGCCAATATTGAGAGACTTTAAATTAACAAACCTTATTTGGTTCCAAATCTGTACTGGGCACAATTTAACCTTTGATAATTCAAACGTTCTACCAGGGTCTCAGAATGGTATGGGATCTCACTGTAATAATAGCATCTTTCATTTCCATAGTAAATGTTTCTAGATATTTTATCTCAATTCATTGAAATAGGAACCCATAAAGAAGGGGTTGAGAGAGGATTCCTCCAAGTATCCACAGTAGCCAGGGGAATAAACACAGGTTTCTGGATGCCAAGACATGCTACATCCACGACTCCCACTGGGTTCTCATGTCCTCTATTGCACTTCTGTGCCAGGTAGTCCTGATTAATGACAGTCATGGAATCATGGGAGTCAATGCACTTCTGTCCCACCCCACTTCCCTTGCAAGGACCAAGGAGGAAACCTGACCATCCTTCTGTTTCTTGGGCAGGTGAAGATGCACACCATGTCCTCCTCGCATCTCTTCTACCTGGCTCTGTGCCTGCTCACCTTCACCAGCTCTGCCACAGCTGGACCGGAGACGCTCTGCGGGGCTGAGCTGGTGGATGCTCTCCAGTTCGTGTGTGGAGAAAGAGGCTTTTATTTCAGTAAGTATCCCTCCCTCTCACTGTGCTGCTCGAGTCTAAAGTGTACAGCTCTGTGGATTTACAACCACAGGGAGTGTGTGAATAACTGAATGACTGCCCATGTCTGGCAGCCATCCTAGACCTCTAGGATTCCTCACCTTAAAGTAAGTGTAGTGTTTCAGCAGGGCTTTGGCAAGTTTTGCAGATCTAGGATGGAATTTTCCTCCTTAACAATTAGTCTTTAACTACTTCCTGCTAAGCCTTCTTTCAGCTATTGTAATCTCACTATTCCATTCCTTTCAATAAAAGGATAGGACAAAATAACCCTGAGGTATTGATGTTTTTGTTTTCAAAATCTATGGGTGCACATATAAACATATGGAACCCATGTGGGGCTGCTTTAAGTGCTATGTGATTCAGAGTAAAATAGTAAGAACTCTCCAGTCATGTGGATCTGGAAAAAATATTAAAGGGCATATCCTAGATGTCTCCATTCAACATGCAATCACCATGAACAGACAGAAGGTGAACTCCACTTAAAGGCATGTTTGCAAGCATGCAGACTGTCTCTAAATGCAAGCTGAAATGCCATACTGGTTTGCCCTCTTTGCCAATTGACCTTGATTTTTTCTTATTGCTCTCTATTGGCATATTTCTTCTCTGGGACCCTTCAGTGATATCACCATCTGGAAAAAGATCTCTGACAAGTACAGGGTCACTTATCTCAGGGGCACTTATCTCTTAGGTGATTAGAAAGTCAACAGCCATTAAAGGTAGACAGCCAAGTCAAGTTGTGTAAATAATAAGCACAAGCAAAAGTCAGTGATACCTATGGAAACTGCTCACTTAAAGAATATAGCTCCCATGCATTTAACTCACTGCATATTATAGGACAGTGAAAGATTTAAAGCCAGATGCTCATTCCATAGAATTCTTTGGAGTTTTAGAGAGTTCCGGGAAACTGAGCATGAATCATCCTTAAAGGTTCATATCACTCTAGTGTAGACAGCTTACCTCAGTTACCCACTGTGCTCCGAATAGCTTCTGTGATGACTCACACACTTGAAGTCTCTCTCATCTTCTTCCCAAATGTCAGCCTCTCTCTAGGCAGGTGGGGTATATATGTGTATGACTGGCAGGATAGAGGGTGGCCTGTGTACACAGATCTGGAGATAAGTACGGGAGATGGGAAGAAAGAGGCTGGTGAGGCGATTGGATTACAGTGGATTCGTCAACAAATAGTTTTTAAATCACTAGTGACAAAGAATCACAAGTTCCTTCTACTATTGAATAGGCAAATTCCCACTATTTGCTCAGTCAATGAGCAAATTCATTTATTTTCCTGGCATTAAGCAATTCTATCCAGTTCCCTGTTGCAGAGGAGATGAATGAATGCATTGGGTGAGTGATTTTCCAATAGCAGACTCATTTTACCTTTAAAATATCCTGTGGAAGATAACGGTGAGACCTCACATGATCCAACAGTGGGTAATAATTATTCTATAACTTCAAGCTACTGATCCACGTTTTTTTAAAAATGAAAAAGTGGTTCTCACTTATTATGCCCAAGAGGACTTTTTTTTGCCTTGATAATCCATTTCTGCAATTTCCTTTGATCTAGTTCACTAGGTAATTGCCAAGTCTAGAAGTGTCCTTTGTTATGTGCCAGGTTGAATTGTGGCATTCAACATGACATGCTCCAGAATTTCCATGCACAGTGCATGAAAACTGGATCCTTCTATGCCTATGATATTTGCATTAAATGATGAAAAATTAGAATTGAAAAATTGATTGTTCCTAAGTAACTGTATGATATATATGTGTTTGCACAGATACTTAAGAATATTGGACAACTAAAATGGAAACCAGTTTCCAGGTTCTCTTATTCTGTTACTGCAACAATCAAATTTCAGCAAGTTTTTAAAAATTGTGTCTGAATAACTTGAAAAGGAACAGTTCTATATAGCAACTCTTGATATTTACTGTATGACTCTAGCTAGAAAGTGGTTCTGTAAATCATATATTGTTGTCAGTATTGTCATTGAAATATGTGTGTCATGTGTTTTTTCTTATAAAATTCTGTGACTTACGTGAATCTGACATACCCTCCTGCACAAAAGTGTCCAACATAACTTCATGCACAAACGTATTCTTATTAACATTCTAGTCATTGGACAATCTTATTTGCCCAAAAGAAGTTCGTCTATTTAGATTATTTTAATTTAATTTAAAACATTGATGGAGCATCTGTTATGTGTAAGCATAAGACAAGGCATGAATGAGATGCCTAGAAATGAATGAGAGATTGATCTTGACTTCAAGGGGCTTAGTTGAGTTGAGTGGTAAAAGAAAAATACACTACATTATTGTCATAAGAGAAAAATAACCATGGAGAATAGATTATATCCTTTATGTTTTTCCTGAGTATTTTGTCCCATTTGTGGTCTCACCTTACAAGGGTCTAGCCTGCCAAGAATAATACCCTGTTAGTGGGCTCCTTGATGCCGAAGGATATATTTATTTACCTTTGAATCCAAGTGTCTATCTCATTGCCTGGATGCTATATTAGCTGCCCATATTTGATTGTTGGACAGGATTGAATTGAAGTGAATCCAGTTGAATTCAATTGAATTGAATGGAATTACTTGTTTGGGATCTTAGTCTTAAGAACCATCAAGGTTGTTAAGTTCTGTGGACAATACTTCTCATCTCATGGTTATCCAGTTATTTAATAAAACTGCTTTTCTTTTGTTGAACTCAAAAAAATATCTACTAACCATGACTGCAGTTTGGTCATCCCCAAGCTACATTGATGTCTGTTTTGTGTCTGAGCCAATTATTCTTACAGGCATTAACTGTTGTCAACAAATTTCGTTTAGTTTCCTTTTCGTCCCCTGAGATGTACTGTGTGTGGAGAAGTCAGCTCTAAGCATATACAGTCTTTGAAATACTTTTTAGAGGAGAGCATTCTTCTCCACCTCTATACACAATCAGTTGACTCTTATTATTATCGTTATGCTTATTTTCAAAGTTTTATTGTGGCTGTGCCTTTTATTTTAAACTGCTTCAAATCCATTTTGGAAGTACAATTTTTTTAGGATTAGAAGGCAGTTTCTAATTTTAGTTTGAAATTCAAACATCTAAAAGAAAATTGCCTCCATATCTATCATTTTTGTCAATCATGATATTTAACAAGGAGAGTTTTTTAACTCTATTAGAACTGTTCTGAATAAAACTTTTTGTAATGCTTACCACATGTAGATTTATCCCATGTTGTGAATGAGCTCATATTTCCCTTCAAGCCCAAGTTCCACTACAGCACAGTGGAAGCAGCCTTCTAGATTATCTGTTTGTGAACATTATCCCATCATAAATGGAACAGTTCATGTATAATTAATGCAGCTTCCCCAGACACTTTTTGAAATGAAAGATCCAATGAAGAGCTAATTACTGATTCTTTCCTATCTATCATAGGGAAGATAGGAGAGCCCATCAGCCAGCCTTGTGTTCTTGTAGTCCTGTGAGAAAAATGGTGGCATAATGGAGACAAAAGCACATTTGGAAGGAGCTAGCTATTTTCTTACTTGACTGATGGAGCCCTTATGAAGGGTGGCTCACAACAACCTCATTTTTGCATGAAAAACACCAAGAGCTTCAAATCAAATAGGAGAAGTGAAGCTTAGCATAGATATAATTTTTGACAGCCATGGTGATTAACCATTTTAACATGCTGCTATGGGCCTGTGGAATTTCTCTCCTTGGAGATTCTTAAAAAATTGACAGACAACCAACCATCTTGAATGGTTTCAATTAAGAGCAATGGAAAGAAAGAGAGTTACTGGGGTCTTTTTTAGTTTTAAGAGTCTATAAACAGTCCCTTAAATAAACTGTATATGCTTGACCTTGGCAGTCTGGGGAAAAGGAGAAGTAAATCAATTAGAAAAGAAAGTTGGATATTCTTGCAACTCTTCAGGATTTATAGCTTTTGTAAAACATATTTCCAATGTATAGTTATTAAGAATAGGTCTGAATAAATGAATGGCATTCTTCATGTGTTAAAACAGACTGTTTTGTAAGGACTTTAAGTGAAACTTTACAACGAACTTTCATCACTATTGATTGCAACAACCTTCTTAGATCTAGGTTATTATTATTAAGTTAAGCTTGTTTCCTTTTTATATACTGCCCAGAAAACTGCCCCAGACCTATCATTCATTAGCTGTAGGACTTTGGCAGGCATTTAAATTTCCTGGGTCTAAATGTCCTTGTTCATAAAACAAGGGGATTTTATTAAAGTAAATGACCTCTTCTAACTTTAACAGACTCATAGTCTACATTGTAATTAACAAAGCTCTGGTGTTATTTAAGAAAGAAGAACCTTGGATTTAAGTAGTGACCAAAGAACATTTAGTCTCTCGTATCTTATTTACGTAGTTTCTGTTGGTCCCAAGAGATAGGAGATTCCACCCACTTAAAGTAAGAGGAACCAGATTCTTCGTTTTGTTTTGCTTTAAGCCGGATTGCAACCCCTCGGGAATGGAATAGAAGCTCAGATATGACCAATAACATGCAGGTCTTTTGGATCAAGGAGCCAAAGAAGCACACGCCTCATGAAAACAAACTCTCATTTTTCTTTGTTAGGATAGACCCACTGACAGTTTCTATCTTTACATTCTCTCACTCTCCCGGCTTTGAGGTCAAGTGAGTACATTCAATTTTAGATGCCCTTTATTAAATTAGAGGTGACAAATAAGAATCTATAGGTTTCTAAACCTCTGCCCAACCTATTATCTTTTCAATTAAAGAAGAGAGTGTAAATTGGGGCATCTGACATCACACTGATCCATCATCAGCATTGTTTTGAGTGAGGCTGGGTTGGAGCTGCATCATTTTCACTCCTTTGATTGGTACCCCTTAGACTGCTTGCTGTGCATCTGTGTAACAACTGGTCACAGTTAGGAATACAGTCACTAGCTGTGGAAAAGTTTTCTCTTTGAAACTAATTGGTATATGTGGGGTTT